TTTTTTTCTTAACCTTAAACTTTTTCCTTCTCAGATGATCCTTATATATTATGTCAATCAAGATAAATTCACAAAAGAAATCTCAAAAATTCAAATACTTCCATCTTAAAATCTTTGGATATTTGGTCCAAAATATTTGAATCATAAAATTAAAGTAAATGGATTACAAAGCATTTGTTGGGTATTTGGGTCACAAAATGGAAGGCCCAAACCCAAAAAAATAACTAAGGGCCTAAGGTTAGAATTGGTCAAAACCGAAATTGATGTCAACTGAACTGATTAATTTGGTGACCGAACCAAAAAATTGAATATTATTTGGTTCAATTTTTAGTTATCATTTTACAAAATAATCAATCGGTTAAAGCTATTAATTTAAGTTCGGTTCCAATTGAACCAAACCAAACTGCTGCCCACCCCCATTCTTGCATGTGAAGGCTGGGATCACCTACAGCAATACGTTGGAATGCTACAAAATGGAATCTTAAAGGAAGAAGGGTATGTAATTTGGTTTTCAGTTATCTGGTCCATATGGTTTTAGAGGAACAAATCGATTTTCTAAAAAGGAAATGACAATCTAGTTATTGTAGTGGATTTAATTAAGTTACGTTCGTTAAACTGGGTGAAAGCCAACCTAAATGAAGAAATGCCCAAAGATTTATGGATTGAGAATCCCAGGGAAGCATGTAAAAAAGCACAAACCATCTAGGAAAATTGTTTAGGCCTGTTTTGAGTAATGCAATTTGAATAATTTTTGTGATAATGTAATGAATTAGAATACTTTTGTACTTCTAAATAAATTTTATTTTGTTGATGAAAAAAAAAAAAGAACAAAGGTTCGAGTCACCCCACTGTTGCCTTAGCCAGGGGAAATGTGAAGTAAAATAGCACCGTGGTGTGTGGCCAACCATATATATCTGGTAAGGTGAGACTATGTTGATTGCACACTTGTCCCATTTGGGTTGGGTAAGGGAGAGGAAACTGGTGTCATTGATACGGAAGTTGTGTCAGACCAAACTATGGTTCAATAATCAACAAGCTTTGGATAAGCTTAGGTTTATTGTTATATGTCATAGTCGTACATTGATATAAAAAATAAAAAAATATATAAAAAAAAAAGTAAAAGAAAACTAAGAATTGACATGTTGTACAAAAGGAATATGCGCATGAATTATAGAATTAATATGGGTTTTTAGAATCATCATGAGAAATATTTGATTTTAATTAGAGCAATAGTACTATGACAATGAAATTTTCCAGAAGCAAGAAACAGTAAAGAACATTTGAACCATATAATTTTGAGAAATAAATTCTGTACTTTATTCCTTAAGCTGTTAGAATGGCAAAAGACAAGTAATTACAAATATAAATTGTATGTTAGTACTATAAAATAATTAGTTTTTAAATTTATTAAAATTTTTAATACTATAATATAATATAATTTATTTAATAATATAATTTATATCATACCATTAATCTTAAAATTTCATCACTTGTTTTACAGACGAAAGAAATAGACAGCTAAACCCATGAAAGAATCTATTCACGTGGTTAAGTAATCTAACAACTCTCAAAGCACATACTAACATATATGATACATCATTTTCTTTTCTGTAAAGTTTCAATTTTTGTTTTCTATTTTGTTAGGTGTTCCATGTGACGCTGAATTGCTTAGAAATGGTAACCGACTTATGAGATTGGAGTGTTTCTCTCTTTCCGTTTTCATGAATTGCCCAACAAATGTGTTGGATTGGGCTTTATCTAAAATAATTAGGTTTTAATTTTAGACTAGAAATTAAGCTAAAATTAATAATAACTATTAAAGTAATAGGTAAAATTTATAGCTGAGTTTTTTTTTTTTTTTTATGAAATGTGAAATTCTTTTATCTAATAATACTTCAATTCTTTTTTTAGTGCTAAAGCTCTTGATATATGAAAACCATATGAAACTCCAATTAATTTAAAAATAAATTGAATTAAACTCCACATGAAGAGAGAATCTCTCGATGCTTATATTATCTTCAAATCTTTAATTCTAAGATTAAAAAACAAAATCTATAATTATGAGAGAAATGAGTAATTAAGTTAGTTTGTCTAATGTGAGTCATCAAAGTTAGAGAATAGAACCAAAAGTGATAATTATAAACAACATAGACAACTTCGTCCTCATTGTCGTTGTGCATGTCTGCTGCAAGGAGCAAGATTTGCTAGTTGCAACACTTACCCTTACTTATCAAAACTTTGTTTTCCCCTCAGCTTCCCAAATAAACATATAAAAAAATCCAGCCCAGTAGTAATCTCTATGAAGTTTAAGAGTATTGTTATCATTATCTACAGCATGAAATGCTGCTGGTTGATCTGCCAAAATCCAGCAATCATGGATCCCGAAAGAAAGAAAACATCGACTGAACTATAACAATTCCTCTTTCATAATCTATGTGACATGATGAAGCAACATTAACTCTTGAACTCCAGGTTCCTTACTGCTTTGCCTGCAAAAAGGGATGCACATGATTAAGGATTTTATACTTAGTAGCAACAAATTACTGTCTGAAAAGGAGAGAGAGAGAGAGTCGAATATTCTGAAATCGTGAAAGACAGCTTAATTATTCACGATAATCTAATTAAAACAACCTTTACTATGGGTTGAGGAATAAACATGGGAGGAATCTCATTAGATGCCTTTAGTTCGGTGAACATGGGATGGACCAACCACTAGATTAAGATCATACAATATCACCTAATGCCGAAGCAGTCAACTGTTTGATTGGGCAGCTGAAACTAACAAAGCGGAACCAACCAGAGGGATATAACAGATTTTATTGCTCATACAGCTGCTAAATCATTCGTCTACAACAAAGTATATAATGCTCAAGGTCTTTAATCAAAGTAGTTGTACTAATAGATCAAAGGAGTAGACAGACATTAAAATCTGGAACAGACATAAACAAAAACTGGTAAATAGATCACCCCAACTCTGGCTCTGGTTTTTTCAGATGTCAAATGCAATAGTCCATCTTGCATTCAAAAATAATAACAACAGCAAGTGGGCATATCTTTAGGGCTATTTAAGTTGACTACATTGGTGATACTTTCAGAAATATTGAGCAAGGATAATAAGTTTCAGTCTGTCTGCAGTCCTGTTTACAATTATGAGCTGAGGCTTACACCTTATCCCTGCCATATGGTATTCTCCAGATATAGACAAATGAGTCATTTCTAGTTATCATAAAGCATTATATCATCTCAATTTCTAGTTATCCCTCATTTCTAGTTAGCTAATCTGGACTCTAGATCTGATATCAATCTTAGGGGGGTAAATCTTCTCAAAAAAATGAGTTGTCACATCATACTCAGTTCATGAATAAGATATTTTTACCTGGGAATACAAGAAGGTTCCAAGGATTGCAATCGCAGCACCTAAAGCATTGATCGGCCTAACTGGGGTGTGGAATATGATGATGGATGAGACTATGACAGATATACGTTTCATGGTGTTTCCGATGCTGAATGTCAAAGGAGAGATCTCGTCAAGAGACATGTATGACACCTGGTTATAGAGATGATAGAACACACTTTGGGCTGCCACCCACCTATCAAATAAAACAACAGCCACAAAAAATTTAGCGAATGGAAGAAGAATCGAACATTTATCTCTATCACTAAAATTCAAACCAAAGAATAGAGTAAATCAATGACTGTAACCAGCAAACACATGAAGTACAAGAACCTCTAGGCTGAATTGAAAATATGACATGAAATTCAAGGGTTACAAACAACATTATATCATCTCAATTTCATATTGTTGCTTCGGTGCCTATCTATATTGCTCAGCAGCACAATTCACCATGCACAAGCACATGAAGGACATCAAGTGAGGAGCTGCTAAATAAACCAGCAATTGTAGTTATATTGCTTTTAAGATTTAGCCAACTAATTATGGTTTTATCCTGACATAAGTCAGAGCCAAAGTTTGAGAAAAAAATTATAGGCTCTTGCTGAGAATCGTGCAGTTGACAAAGACCCCATCTGAATTAGAGAAAGCATTAGATTGCCACAAACTATAAAACCCTTCTCCCTCATTGTGATTTCAAATTTTGCCACCATTATAATTAAGAGGCACATTGTATTTTGCTAAGAAATGAACTAATACCCAAGGTATCTAATACTGGGGACCAAACACAACCAGACAACATCAAGTGCAAAAAGTATTAAGGAATTTAGAGTTAGTTGCAATCATGTGATTACCATATAAATTGTGGTCCAATTTGTGATATGGCCTTTTCCCATCCTGCTGTCCACATCTGTGGTCCCTCTACAGCAATTGCAAAAGGAGTGAGAATTAAGAGGGACAACATGGAGAGACAAGCATAGTAGTTCATCCCGCTAACAGACTTCCCCTTCATGCCTCTCTTTGAAAATATGTTGCGGAAGACAAATGCTAGGTTTGATATCATAGCCCCCATAAAACCTGTAATAGATGACCAACAATCAAAAGTTTAGAATTCTGAATAAACCCCAAAAAGCAGAATGACAAAATTATATCCCGACCCCAATTAACCTCTCCCACTCACATAAATATTCCAAAATACCAAAATCCAAGGAACCTATGTATTGGACCTGGCCACACATCTTGAATCCAAAATGAAGAAAAGATATTGAACCTTCTTTGTTTCTGGTTGCTAACAAAGATAATTATTTAAAGGAACAGTGCAAATAATGAAAACTTATAAGCATATCTGTGAGAGGTTTCATTTTACAGCCATCTCTCATTGACAAGACACACTAATCAATAATGAAAAAATCCAAACCGAACATATAAAACAGACTTTTTTCCTTACCAGTCATGTTGAAGTTGAGCTCAGTTACGGCAGCAAGAGCACAACCACCAATGATTGGGATCAGGGACAGGTAAACAGCAGCGGGAAAGGTCTCACCAAGGAGGAACCTAGAAACCAAGACACTGAAAGCAGGCTCACCACTCTTGATGATGTGGGTGAATGAAACTGCAACCTTTGACATACTCACCGTTGCTGCTACATGTCCAATCGTATGTGCCACAGCAACCTAGCAAAAACAAAACCCAGAAACTTCTAAGATTGAAACACAAAGTCAGAAAACAAAGAAAAAACCAGAACTCTGTCCATCCATTAGGTTCTGAAGCAAAGACAGAAAAATTAATGAAATTGAGATTCAATTAGTTGTGACAAAAAGATGAAATCTTGATATTTTTTGGGTCAACTCTCCTATATTCATTCCACCTCATACCCTCAGCAATCAGACAAACGGTAGTTTTCTCAAGCCAGGGTAGAACCAAACATTTCCATCAATCACCAAGTTCAAACAACATAAAACCCATGATCATGAGTTTAATGTTTCATTTTCCTCATTTTCTGGAGAACCACACAAAATTTCATTCAAACAGCCAAAAAATAAAAAAATTAATAAACCAGAGTGAAAACCAAACCGAAGAAAAACCATCCCTCTTACCTTCCCTCACTTTCTCACTAGTCAAGCGAAATTCAAAATCACTCACCGGAAACAAGGTCTTCCAGAACCCGAAATCCGTCTTCGGCGGCTCTGCAATGCCCGTGGCCCACGAGATCAGCATCATCAGAGACCCACAAGCAAGAGAAAGAGTGGAAGTCAACCAAGGATACGGATACGCATTCAAGACCTTCTTGTTATAGATATTGAACACTACGTTCAAAGCCCACCAGGTCGCAAAGTAAATCCCAATCTTCACCCTCTTCGTACCTTCCGATTTCGCATCCGGTGCCTCCACCGGTGGCGGTCGATCAGCCTCATAAGCCTTACATTTGATCACCGATTTTAGAGGTCTGATCGAGCCGAGCCCCTCAATTGAGGAGACGTGCAATGGTTTCGACACAGCAAGTAAGGTCTTTGAGACACTCTGAGCCTCAAGAGGAGGTGTAAAGAAAGATCGACGAATTAGGCACGGCGTTCTCAGTTGAAGTATGGAATCGGACCCCAACCCATTAACGCAACTACCTAAAGTTGATTGCTTGATCGTGCAGATCATCTTCTCAGCCAAAAACACAACCGGCTATCAGACAAAACAGCAATAAAAACCAAAACTTTGAAAAACCCACCAAGGAAACCTAGTAATTCACGACCATTAGTAAAAGCAAATCAAAACTGCTTATTAAGAATGATCACTCCGTATAAAGAAATGATCCAAACATATATGGAAAAACCAAAGGAAGAAGTTGGTGCAGTAGGGACTTAAAATTGAATGATAGGCTAAGTGTAATAAAATATTCTATACTATGTGCCTTATATCATTTTAGCCTATAAACAATTTTTCTCTCAAAAGTGATTTATAAATTATTAATTTTACATTAAAATGATCTATTTTATCAACATTTATTAATTATACTAACAAAATTCCTTTTAACTGTTGGCATGGTGCCATCTAATCGCTACTAACATAGCAAGTGACCAAAAAAATTTCTTTTAATATATGAACATTTAAATATTTCTAAATTGAACCTCTTTTGCCAAATTTCTAATTGAACCCTTAGATTAATACCTTTAACAATTAAACCATTTCAAAATTTAATTTTAATTAAATGGGCACTTAGGACCAATGATGTTAATACCGTACCGTACCGGTTGGTACGGCCGGTACGTACTGGTTTTAGTATTTGACTGAAACGGTACAATGTCAATTTTCATTTCGGTTAAATTTCGGGCATTTCGGTCAAAATCTGATGTACCGGCCGGAATTTCGGTGTACCGGCCGGTACACCGAAATTCC